CGGCTAAGAAGAGCGAGGTTCAGGTTTATCTTTCGTATGTGTACATTTTTATGCGATATGTCATGTAAGGCTTGTTACTGTTTTCTTATATCATTTATGCTTTAATCTTGGGCAATATTCAGGCCTCCAAAAGTGTTCCATGACGAATAATAATACGGGGAAGTATCTCATGTTTACAGAATTATTATGAAATTTATATTAGGTTTTACATAATCATTTTACTTATTATGTATGTATAATTGAATATGCTCGTAAACTTATATATCCTTTTGAATGTAGTTGATATCAATCAATAAATAGTGTCATTTTCAAAATATTTAAAGAAGTGTGACCTTCGAAACCATTGTCGATGGACGAATGAAGAAGTATGATGGGAGGCGCTTAGGGCCCGCGCATTTTCAACTGATTTCGATAGTTTTCCGTCGTTTGATTTGTAATTTGAAGATGTTGATAACTAACAACTTGTATTTATTGTTATTTCCTAATGTTACATCAGTAAACCAGTGATTTGTTAATTGATACAATTCAAAAACAAAATCAGATTCGTCAACTCGAGTACAATTCCTAGGAATGGGGGTGGAGCCGCACCTGTGGCAACAGCGTAGAAGCATCGCACGTTGCTGTCGCGATCGGCCCGGAAAGTGTCGCAAATAAAAAAAACGACACTTTCTAGTGTAGTTAGACAGTTTTCTTGGCATGGAAAAAAAGCCTTAAGTTACGACACCTTCCATCAATATGGAGATTAATTGATCGATCCTTCCTCTTATCAATATTCAATAACGGACCGGACACTTCCTTTACCACTGGCGTGAAGCCGTTCCCTTCCTAAAACCTAACATAGCGCTTACAAGCTACTTATGCAAGCTACTGGAAAAAGTGGTACCTTCTGCAAATGTGGTATCTAGAATTTCACAACCTTATCTCATCAAATCAGTTTGGTATCGTCGCGGCCGCTGCATAGCTGATCCTCTTGCCTATTTCAAGACTCTAAACACATCGGCATTAACTGTCTTCGCTATAGAAAAGGCATATGATACCACATGGCGGCACCATATCCTTCACCAACTATCCTCCCATGGCATAGGCGAAAACAAGAGTGTTTTCATAAAGTGCTTTCTGATTACATCCGTGTCAGATTTGCCTCTTCTATTCCATTTCCCCCTCAATTTGAAGGTGTCTTACTAGGCAATGTGCTCAGCACCATATTATTCCTTTGCTGTAAACGGATTAATTTCAGCTCTACCATCAGGAATCCGGTCATCAGTTCTTCAGGCAAGTTCCTTGTCCTGGCGAGCTCATATCCTTTCTGTTGAAGAAAGAGACCGACTCTTACAGACTCACTCACATATATCCTGGGGTTCAGACCGCAAACAGTCCTCCATCTCCATATTGCCCTAATGTTCTCCACCCGTGATTATGGCTGTCATATATATTCTGCCTCTGCTTCCCTTTCCACATACCTTGATCAAGTCCACCATTGCGGTCTTCGTTTAATCATAGGCGCTTTTCGATCCTCTCTAATGGAGAGCCTATATACTGAATCAGACTTACCATCCCTATCTCGTCGTGCAATTTCGTTCCAAAGAAGCTATGCTCGCTTTCACAAATTTTCTCTCTCTAATCTAACCGTTCCTTAATCCCTTCATACCTTCTCCACATTTACCTACCCTTTTCCCTGTTCGTATGATCGGTCTACTTTCCCATTCACCCATTCCCGATCTATCTATTCCTTTTTCTGCTCAGTCTTTCCCTCCCTGGCCATTACTGTAAGGTGGCATCTGTCCTCCCAAGGCGGGTTTCCTCCTCGCCACTCGTTCCCCGTATTTCGGTCGCGCCCTGACTTCGCTCGTTCGCCCGTTTTTTTTTTTTTTTTCGGGGGGGGGGGAGGTCTAGTCTTTTTATTTGGTTTTTCATTTCGTTCTATTGTTGTTGTTTTTTAGTTTTAGTTGAGTTTCCCCTTTGAATAGCCGTTTCTTTTTTCGATTTTGTACAGTCATTTTATTTGCTTTGTTTTTACTTGAAAGTCTGCTTACTTTATTTTCTATTTAGCTTAATTTATTAAATATTATATTTCATTTATTATCTCTTATCTTTCGAGCATTTTACACTGGTCATCTTGAATTTTAATCTTTACTTTTTCATTTTTAATTTTATTTCATCTTCAGACTATTTTTATATTTTTTCTTCTGGTCATTTAAAAACACTTTTTAAGCTGGAAGATGCTATCTGAACTTCTATAAATACGAAAGAGGTATAGTTGGTGACGTAGTTCATGACGTCACGAACATAATAAATATCTCCATAAACGGCGCAAAGCAATACTCAGTCTAGACTAGAGTCTCTATCTGTGTATCACGATCCCTTGTGTGAAGCTGGAACGTTAGAGGCGGCCACGTCCCCAGAAACAGGATTTAAATTTGGTGTACTGACGTGATCCTTTTTGTTTTAGTGATTGTTTAACATACCTAAACTGAATTTTGTAATCTTCGTCTTAAATGTTTCATTAACCTAAATAATTAATTAAGTGGTTATTGACAACTTTGACTTTACATTCTATCATAGAGGCCAGAGTAACACTTCTTAAATGCGTCTTAAAAACTCATATGTGCTAAATAAGATAGATACATAAAACATTAGCTAAATTCACACTCCTTGCGAGTCTTAATTCGTATCAAGACTCGCAAGGAGTGTTAATTTAGTTAAAGTTCTACGTATCTATCATATTAAACACATATGAGTTTTTAAGGAGCATTTAAGAAGTGTTACTTTGACCTCCATGATAATTATCAATAAAAAAACTAAAGGAGCTCTAGTTAATATGAATAAGAAAGCCATAGGCTGAAAGTCAAGGAATTAATGCTCCACGCTACCAGTATACGACATCAAGCCACTGTTAAACACAACTAATACATAGAGACTATTAGACACACATCAAAGAATACCTCACAATACCTTCCTCCTGTAATTGCTCTTCTATTTTCCCAGATCACCCCACCCTCACAATTTTTTTTCGCATATATCTACATGACTCCTTCAGTACCAAAATCTATACAACCGGCTCTAATTGGACCTCGAGTACTGGTTTCGCCGTAATCTTTCCCTCTCACTCATACAGCTTTCCCTTTCCTGCTGAATCGAGCTTCCTTACAACAGGGCTATATGTTATCTCTTTACAACGCTGTATGTGCATCTCAGATCATGTTGGGTATTTTGAGCAACTGTATCAGCTAGACCTTCCAGCAGTTATTCTGGACGCAAGCGATGTCGCAATCCCTGTGCCGGACCCACCGATCAGTGAGGATCCTCCTACCCTGACTGAGGTTAGGGAGACGATCTCAGCTGAAGGGTGGGAAAGCTGCAGGCATATGCGATATCCCTGCAGAACTGCTGGGGGTGAACCTATGACATGAGACTTGTATACTGTCCTGGCTGCCATCTGACAATCCAATTCCTTTCCCCCTGACCTGTTGAGAGGCGTGGTCTCTTTGGAAGGGGAAAGGGTCATTGCTCACTATACCAAGCAAGGTTTTTGTCCACATTCTTCTGAAACGGATCCGCAACCACCTACTGAGACACCAAAGACTTTAGCTGTTTGAATTCACTCCTGGCAAGTCCATAATAGACAGTATCCTAATGTTTCGAGTCATTATGGAACGCCGTAGTGAGTTCGGACGTGGACTGCTTGCAGCCTGCAACGACCTCAAGAAGACGTTTGACTCAGTGCAACACTAATCGCTATGGGAGATCTTGAGACAGGAATTCCGGCACGGATAATTGGAAAAATAGCAAGCCTATATACACGTACTGAAAGTGCTGTAACGTGTGGTGGCAGACTGTTGAGCTTCTTTCCTGTTAACTCAGGAGTGAGACTGGATAATAGGCAGAGCTACTATCCAAAGTCACTGTGGAGCAACACTAGGCAATACCAAGGTCACGGATCACGATTTTGCCGACAATGTTGCAATCTATCTTATCTGTCTCTTGATTCTCTAGTGGCGGCTCTTGATACATTCAGCAATGAGGCGAAGCCCCTGGGCTTAGAGGTCTCCTGGATACAATATTCCTTGCATACATGACTTCATAGTGATACAAGAATTGAGAAATTAGTCAACTGGTTCCTAATACTTCACTTAGGCTTTCTGATTCATGTGTTGGGAACCAATTAGTTTAGACATACTGAAAACAATACTTTCTTATAGGTCACTCTGTAATATTTTTTTCATTTGTTTGGAATCTCAATATGATGTTTATGGTATTGGTAAGCATTACAAATTTTAAAAATTTCAAGTAAAGAATCCCCGTAACATTGTATAATTTATGTTGTATACGATTCTTGAGTATAACAAAATCATTTCATGTCCTGTTTTTTGCTTTAGTTGAGCAGCATTAGTAATTGAATATTTTTTTTGTAAATGACAATTTCATTGATGTATATAAACTGTGATTTATCTTAAATACCCTGTTACAATATGGTATGAGATGTATCATGCACTGAGGCACCTATTCTAAATACTGTATTTATTATCTCTGTGTTGGTTTCTATTTGAATAGAATACATTATCAAAATTACTGAGAAATATCCTGATGTGGAAATAATGAATGTATATTCCATGATTCTTTGGCTTTATCTATAGTTATATCCAGGTAGATTAAGGGATGATAACCAGTTCAAAGTTGGAGCAAGATTCAATGCTAAGTTTGTTGTTCCCTAGAATATTTTCTACAACTGATTTACAGTATCCATTAAGTTAATTTCATATTTCACTTGTCGTCTCCAGCAGTTTATCTCATAAAGTGGAGAATCAAATCAATGTTGCAAATGTATTCAATACTGATGTCTATTAATCTATCAAGAGTATATAAACACTAAATCACTTTTATACTGATACAGTTGGCAAAATATTAGTGTACTCTGTAACGAGATACAAAGAGTGGTCACTCAATCAATGAGATTAATGAAGATCCAATTACATTCATTAAGGGGAAAGGAAGAAAAGATGTGGACTCTTGAAAACCTGTATTTTTAAAGTTAACAAACGCAACAAGTAATGTTCTTTCCTATTAACAATAGAAGCCATTTGTTTATATCCACGAAAAATCTAAAGTACTACGCGCGTTCGAGTGCATGGTTGGTGACAGAGCATCATCACAACGGAAGCCAGACTCATATCCTTTGCTTCTCAGGAGTCATGTTGGGCCTCGCAGCTCCACACTGCACAAACCATCCATGGACCCACACACACACACATCAGATAATGGACAAGAGAAGAAGTACAAGGCCTTTTTCTTATCAAACTTCCAGTGATCTTAGACTTCCTCAGTCCTAGAATTAGTTGACAAACATAAGGTTAAGGAGTGTCGTGGCTGACATGTCAAGAGACGAGCATCACAAAATGACTGAAGATTTACTGAAGATTTACAGAAGGTTTATCTTGGTTATCTCTACCATTTTACATTAACATTTATTGGATTTACAACATTTCAGTATTTAGAAAATCCTTCACTTTCTCTACGGAAAAGAATGAAATAACTGTTCGCTATTGACTACAATTTGTTATGTGTAATGGTTTGGTGAACAGCCCAGAGAACTGACTTAAAACTAATGCATATTTGCCACACCTAAGAACAGGATGGTAGAGGGCAGACCACGCAAACAGACATCGAGTCAACCTGGAGTGGTGAAATGTGATAGTTAGGGGTGGGGGCAGGGTGGGGGCGGGGGATTCCGGGAATGGTGATGGAGAATGGAGAGGGGAGGAAAGACAGGGGGGAGGGGGAGATTTGGGGATTTCTTTCTTTTTTTCTGGGGAGGGCGCGGGGAGGTAAGAGCAGGTGGTGGGGTCGGGGATGTTGACTGGCAAGTTTAAATGCCATATTTCCATGGGTAAAGTCAAGCTCCCCTACGGGTTTCCACATTTTTTAACAAGAGCACTGAAGCTAGATCCAAGGAAATATCCTAGGTCAGTACTTAGTGCTTGCAGGGGCATGAAAAAGTCCTAGGGCTTACTCCCAGGGTGGCCGTACACAATTGCAGGCCTCTGGAGTGCTCCTCACATGGGCACAACAAATAAAATTGGTTCCATTGGCTAGCCAACATTATAACAGGTGATAAGGTCGTGAACAACCGTGCACCAGTTCATTTGTAATATTGTTAATTACATAACATGACAATTACCTTCAGTGATTGAATTATTGACAAGCATCATCACTATTATATATACTTCAAAACAACTATTGCTCCATAAAAACGACCCCCATGATGTTAGGATTATTAGTATTAAATGCAAAGATGTCTGATTAAACCTAGACATCAGTAGTGGTTGTGTTGTGAAGCCGGGCTCATAACAAGGCTGGCTCCACCACACAACTTGTAGCAATGCAACGATCATACCACTTAAGCTAAGAGGTACCACCAGTCATACAACCTAGGTCTCATCTTCCATACACAGCAAATGGACAAAACAATACTGCCAAACATAAACAAAACAGAGATGTATAGACTCTAGTATCAGGAACAGCCAACATGGTTTTAGAAAACAAGAACCAAGAACATTCATGAATATACAAGTTTCCACAACTTCTTTAGAGAGTTTTAAAACGTCCTTTGACTACAGGTATAATGGTAATTTGTCCTTAGTATTGTTCAACAGATCTAACCCTCTGGCAAAAACCCTTTACCATATCTATAATTGGTAGACTATGCAATAACAACCCTTACTATACACAAGACTATTAACAGTAGGACATGATGAAACAACGGGCGCGGCGGCACACTGTTAAAGTGAGTCCTTGGCTTACACCAGTGAGTGTGGGTGTGCACCAGAGGTGGGCACAGGCGGAGGGACAGTTGGGCATGCCCCTTAAGGGGTGTGTTCAGGCTGGGTAGATGCAGGACAGCAGGCCCCCAGGAAGACAACTCACGGGAGCCCAGGCAGCCCACCGCCACCAATAACAGGTGTGCACAGCACCCACAGTTTTTTTTTTTTTTCTCTCTCTCTCTCTCTCCCAAACATGAACTGTCACCGCCTTAGCCCGCCCGAGCCACCCTGATTATCGCAGTCAGTCATTGTCAGTCGCGACGGAGCCCAGCACCTAGGCACCACACCACAGGTGGCACCCGCTAGCTACTACGGTAGTGGCTAATGGCTGTTGCTGCTGCTGCTGCTGCTGCTGATCACACTACTGTTGCTGCCAGTGCTGCTACTGCTGCTGGAGGTGCAGTTGGCCCTGAGAAAGCGGCATGGGGGCCTACACTAGGGCCTACACAGCAGTCTCGGTGTGACTGTGTGAGGATAAACGCTCAACGTCGATCTCTGGCACTGTTAATTCTTCTGGATCCGGACACATGTCGGCATACTCCAGTGAAGACCCCTGGGACAACCGTTTGCTCAGGGACGTCTGCTTCTTCAGCACTGCCGCCAGGTTTGGGTTGGAAGGCCGTGCATCAAGCCCCTGCCGAAACGCATTAACTACTCGAATCTGAAACAGAGGCCACAAAGGTAATTTTAAAAGGTGTATGGCGTCAATTAACATATGCCTTGGACACAACTAAACCACGTACAGAACACCAAACAAAGAGAAAAAACTAACTACATCAGTCCAAGGCACTTCAACACTTAAAGGAATGAATCATGGGATTAAAAAAAACATAAATTTTGACTTTTCACTGAAACATGAGACATAAATTGCAAAAAAATGTTCTCTGATATGACGAAGTCTTTAAACTTGACTGTGAGGGTTACTGTGAGAGCTGCTGACAAGTGAGAGGGTGAGGAGTGTGCCTTGCTGCCAACCACGGAGCGTTACAGCGTCAGCAGGAGCGGCGGGGGCAAGGACGCTCACCCGCCGCTCGCACACACAAGCAAAAAGTCATGCTCATTGCAAAGATCCCATGCCAAACTTGAACCGTGTACTGCATCTTCATTAGGTGGCTTTTCAGCCTGTTAGGTGCCAATACAACGAAGAAGTTATGATGGTTAGTATGTAAGAAAATACAGAATATAAACATTCAAAAGTCGATTAAATATGAAAGGTAAAAATTGTTAACAGTAAATAGAACGTGCACTTATACAGAGTACTTGAGAGAGTGTTGCTGGCTGCCATAGGATCTACACGACAGGCGGAGCTCTGTAGCTCCTACGCCGATGGACACACACCAGACATCAAGACAAAGTTGGCAGCCAGAGAACGTGGGCACTGCATGTTGGCTGGAGGCTCTCCATAGTGCGCGGCTCATGCGGCATGCGCGCACCCGGATAACAACCCCCTACCGCCCTCAGCTGTCCTCTCCTACCACTGCTGCTGCTGCTGCTGCTAGTGCTTTTGGCACATAATTAACAGCAGCAGCAGTAGACTTTGTAAGTACATATGCAGTTATTAGAAAAACAATATTTCAAGAACTGTCATTTAGCGGCGGCGGCAGGAAGCCAGTCCGGGGCATGTGCCATTTGTGGTGCGTGCACCATATGTTAACTCACACAAACACTCAGACTGGGTAGGTGTGGGCAGTTGCAACATACCCACACCCACTCAGGGTCATTCACAACACAGGGTTTTTGGGATTAGATGGACAGGTCAACAACATCAATTTTATATGGTTACACACACTAACGAGGACATGTACACAAAACTCATGCTAACATGCTTACCATTCACACCAAGATCTACGATCTAAGAAACAAGAATGACACATAGAAACACTGGCTGCCATTTATTACTCCTGACGACAAATACCAAAAAAGAGGTAAAAACTGTAGACTTGACACATAAAAACCTGACTTTCTCGCCACAAGATAAAACACTTAACAAAACAGGCAAGTCTAAACTAACTGTGCCATCTAAACAACCTAGGTCTATGTCACTAGTCGCTCTAGAGTCATGCGGGAAACAGGAATAAGGAAGTGATACATGGCTGGATAGAAGCAAAACAGATTTAAATTTGTAAAATATCAATGAAAATTGAGGTCTCTTACACAATATGATTTTAACTTGTTCTACTGATATGAGTAGGGACATGCAACTTTCTTGGTATATTATTTTCATTTAAAGGGAATATGTTTAATGACTGGAATAAGATTAGTAAGGAGTTACCTTCGGCTTATAGCTGGGGAATGGGACTGTGTACTTTGTTCTGTGTAAGAGACAGTTTGGAGGCATGATAGGATGGTTCATTTAAAGTGATTTTACCTTAAGTCATTTCTATTTGACATTAAAGTCAACCAGCCTACAGCTTCCATGAAAGAAAAAGAAGCAAACAGCACAGATCAAGGGCAGAGACGTGAGGGGAAGTGAGCGAGCGATCACATTAGTCCAAAAAATGAGTCTAAGAAGAGACAAGAGAGAGGGGTGTAGCTTACAGCCTGGTCTGTGGAGGTCTTGCTATACGGTACGGGTATCAGCCGCTCCTGCAACGTGCCTCCAATGACCTGAACCATGAGAATAATAATAACAGTGGTGAGGGCGAGTGGCTACAGTGGTAAGTTAGAGCTGGCCAGGGATGTATTATACAGCAAGGTGCATAGAAGACAAGGACACGCCTCGCTCTCCCACGCCAATGGCGCCCACAGCCTGGTAAGTGGTGGCTGCGGTCACCCACTCGCCCACAGTACACGCCCTTGTGTTCTACACACCTTGTTTCAGGCGGCACGCGGCGTACGGGCCAGGTGGTGTATGTACACTGTGTGGTGTGCAGGGGATAGTGGAGCAGCAGTAGTGGAGTAGAAACTACAGACAACACACGGGGTGTCCACACCTACCCGGGACTCGCCTAGACATTACAGGGGCACGCGGGGATTAATACGCTTACACTCAGGACACCAACTCACGATCTGTGTGGCTCCGGGACCGTTGAAGAAGAAACACATCTTCATGCACAGAGAGCACAACTTGACTAAAAATAATAATGATGGAAACCCAATGGACAACTACCGCTGCAAGAGTCACTACGGTGGGTACACTAGCGAGAAACTGATTATGCAGGTGAATACTGTAAATAGGCCTGCTCTAATAGCCACTAAATGTTGAGGACCTTAGATTTGGGCTAATGCTGCGGGTGAGGTGTCTAGCACAGTGGCTTACTCACTGAGAATAGCTCAGGTACAAGGGGCTGAGAAAACAGATGCTCTGGTTCATACCTCACCCCCATGTGTTTCTCCTTCCTGATCCTCCTACCAGGGAAAATAACAGAATGATACGCTCAACACCATGTTCATCCAAAGATTACGATCAGCTTAAGACAAAGCCTACATTAAGGGCTCCATGGTGGCTGGAAAGTAAAAAGTGAACCCAGTGGCGACAGCTTCAAGATGAGCGCCTGACACAAGACAGCTCCCTGGGTGAGGAGGAACCAGTCCAAAATTATTGGCTTCTTTATCTGCCATGGCACCAGGAACAGGCATGATGCCGAACCAGGGATAAAACCCTGGATCCTACCTCAGTGAGCAGATGTTCAACACCTAAGGGAATTCTGGACCCCTACTGCACCTCCAGTCCCCTAGCAATATGACGGTTGGGGGTCCAGTGTGCAGCCATATCTGTGTCAGCAACTACCCCAGCCCAAAAGAACAAACACAAGTAAAAGATGATAATTCTAAGAAAGTAGTAATGAAGGAATAAGCTCTGGTAAAGAAGACATAATGTATGGGACAGGCAGGGAAGAGGGACACAATCACACAGATAGGGTAAAATCAAGGCTATGGTCTCAGTCACCACCAGGGCAAGCTTCCTTTATGGTCTCCAAGATTTGCTTCAGTTAAATTTAAGAGAGTTTTCTCACTATTTAACTATTATTTAAAAACTTTCTTTTTTTCTGTTCTCCAAAGCTGGGGAAACATTTCAGCATTTGGCACTCTCCATAACCACATGGCAAACTGCACATAATAAAATAAATACACAACACAAAACACAACATGCAGTGCAAAACCACGTCTCCTCTAGCTGCGCATTAGAAATTAGTACACAAGATGTGTGTTAGTTACCCTGGCATACGCTAGACTAGTAACAGTTGAGGCGGGAGTTGTTAGTGAGGTGCACGTGAGATATTGTCTCAGTCTGTTGTAGCAAAGGTCCCGCCGGGGAGCCAGGCTGGCCTGCAGACCGCCAACCACCACAACCCTCAGATGCTGTGGCAATCAGTGGGAAGTGGCAAGGGCAGGGCAAGACCACAACACTCAGCCTCACAGGCCTCAAGGCAAAAGAAGTGACAGGCAACAGAGTGCCGGCCCCAGCACACCCTACGCTCGGCCCACCATGGGAACACCCTCAGCCCACATGACTGACACTCACCCACCCACACGGACAGGCCAGGTCAGCAGCGGGAGGGGAGGGGGAGCAGGGTAACCACTTGAGCCAAGGTCAAGTAACTATAACTAAAGAAAACAGGGAATTTTAATGGACTATGAGAAAATAAGTAAGAAAGAAAGAAAGAAAATTAGAAAAAATATACCAGAACAATATAATTAAGAAAGGGACAGGAAGCTAGAGTGTTTTAGCTAATAGGAAATTGTGTTTAAATACTAAAAATGGTTAGAACACAGAACAAATGCATAGAAACAATTGTGCAGGTGCATAGACTAAGGCAGGGGCACATTTGCAGGTGGGGTGGGAGGGCTAGGTGGGGGTCACATGATTAAGCCTGAGATGGGAGTAGGATGAGCAGATTGGGGCTGGAAGGGACTAACTTTTGCCAAGTCAAATGGCCAGAAAGTCTCTTGGGGAAGGACATAGGATGAGCGGGTCGATTCAGACTCGGAGGAGGCTTATCACCCAAGGATAGAGTTGTGGGAATTTTACAAAACGATCATGTGGAAAAAACCACAATCAGTCCTGGGGAGGGGTCAGATACTAGTTTCATGAACAAGGGTGGGTATGTCTGGAGGGGCAGGTGGGGAGCGGGCTGCAGTGTGCTGGAGTGCGCTGCCATGTTAGAGTGAAGGGTCTGGGCCACCAAAGTATTAAAATGGTGCGGGGAAAGGGGCTGTAGGAGCGGAGGGATAGGGGAAGTGACAGCAAAGTGGTGGTGGTGGTGGTGGTGGCAGCACTTAGTACTTTGTGTGTTGGCGTGGGTGTGGGGTCGGTGGTGCCCCAGCTGCTGGGTTGCTGCTGCAGCAGGCCCGCCTGGGGGGGGCTGCCGGGGGTACCAGGGGGGCGGTCTCAGCCGTGGTGGGTGATGACTCCTCGACGGGCGTTACGAGGCGCACAGTTGCGTTGCACGACCCGCACCGCTTGTCACTATTGGGACTTGGGCTTTTCGTAGAGTCCTCATCTATGTAACTGATGTCTGACATGGGCCGGTTGCCCTGCTGACTGCGCGAGATGCGCAAACTATGCAAACTATGGCACGACCGCCGTTCTTCCAAGTCTTCCAGGGTTGACTTGAATGCTCGTATTACTCTCAACTGCAAACGGGACGGGACATCCAATCAAACCCCCACACCATTGTAAAACATCCACATCTCATCATGTACATGTTAGTAGCAACACGTAAAAAATTAAAAATAAAACTCACCAGACAAGTCACTGGTAATACAGTGCTATTAACAAACAAACATAAAAAAACTAGGAGTGACTAGTCATGTCGACATGATAATAATAATAATAAGTAGTTATAATGACAGGAGACTGAGGCCGAAGGAGGTGAGGGCTGTTGGCTGTTGGAGACTGGGTGAGGATGGTGTGACGCAGCCCAGTGTGACGGACGCCTAGTGGCACGGGGCGACCTAGAAACATGCAAGCTGCGTGCACAGCAGTGGCAGCCAGAACACAACAGACTAGGCACCGGGCCACAGTAGTGTTGAGGCCGCTAGCCCGTCACCACCAAGAGAAATGATCTATGCAGCACAGAGAACAAACATTCTAGCCTCTTGCTCTAGCCACAGTCTACACACTCCATCTCTTAGCACCACGTACATAATTAGCTAGGATTTACTTCTGGGAATTGAAGGGTATCTAAAATTTAGAACAAATAGGCAAGGGTGGGAGGGGGTAACACATAGCATTACGACATCTTTAAGACAACAACAGCTGTACGGCTATGTGGCTACTCTTACCAACCTGTTACAAAACCCAGGGGTGTCGGTCACAGGAGGAGCAAAACAAACTTACTGTTAAATCAAAAGTAAAAATTAGTAGAGGGCTTGGGGATGGTATATTATGGGACAAGATTTCACAAGTGAGATGCTATAAGTGCAGTAGAAAATTAGCAGGGGTCCTAAATACTAATATAAAATTGACTAAATTTTATATTGAACAAATTCTAAAAACAAATATGCGCATAAGACAGATACTGTTGTACAATATACAAAGTACTGGGTCAGCCTTATAAGACATTGTAATTCCTTGTTAGGGAAAGGATTCTGATTATACACAGTCAGTCAGAGAATGGAGTAACTTTGGTATTTACAGACTGAGCCTACATATTACAACACATGGCACTTGTGCCAATAGCAGGTGACGAGTGGAGTGTTGAGACGCAGCATTGTAGAAAAGTATCCAACAAAGGAAATAAACTAGCTGCCACTACTTGCATGCACTTGCCCAAAAAAATGGAACACGTGGCAGACACGTGATACTGTTCCAAATCGGGGGCAGCAGGATGTTGCCTGTTATAGGTCTGCTGCTCTATCTGTCTGTCTACGGGAGTTAAGACATGTAAATCTACTTGGCATGCACTACTGCATGCCCAGCAGTAAAAAAATGAAGACATGCTGGCATTAATTACTCTATGTAAAAAAATCATACCTGGAAATTAGAGAAATCATAAAAAAAACAAAGGCTGAACCTAGGCTGGTCTTCATGCACTGGGGAGTGCCAAGTTTCGCGGACCCGACATCATGCTGCCGGACACGCCTCTGTCAATCCTTGTAATAGGTTCATGGAAACGCTAAGGAGTGAGGCTAATGGCTTGAGGCAGAGATGACTGGGCCAGCGAAAAATCCTAGCCCTGATAAAATTGTCACATCTCTTTGATACCACTGCTGCCAAATTGCCTAGTTGGGTGTCTCTTTTCGGGTAGCGGCAAACTCCACAACACTGCCTTCCATGACACTGGTAGGCCTAGGTCCCATAGGGCTTCGTGTAGCTTGTGGAAAGTTGAAGTGAATTGAGTCGGAGAGACAGAGGTGAAAGGAATATTTGGAGAGCCACAAAATAAAAGCTGCAGGATTGAGCTACCAAAATAAAAATTCATGGAAAAATAATGATAAACAAATAAATAAATAAAAGGTGATTCTAAAAAAATCATAAGGAAATTCTTCTGGAAAACAAGAAAAACGTATGGTATACCACGATACATGAGGGAATATAACATGATTTGCACACTGATATTCAAAATAATAACATTGCAGTGGTGATTCGCTGCTATAACAACACAGTTACACTAAATCAAGTCATAACAAGATGACAAGGCTTAAACACAATATAAAAAATA